TGGGAGATGATTAAGGTCACTTTCAATCAGAAGCAATTGGGTTAGAGAGGTGGAATAGGACCAATAAAGAGTTGGTCTAGCGATGCCCGCTAGATTCTTTCGTGAAGAGAAGTCATGAATCCCAAATCTAATTAGTCAGTTGCTCAAATATTTGATAATAAGATCCACAAAAAAGGGTCAAATGCCCGAATAATAATATGTATCAAAAATAAAAAAAGGAGAGGGTTGGAGTAGGGAAAAAGAAGGGCAAAATTATAAATAGTAATAAAAATAATATCATGACACAAAAAGAAGCGGAAATCAAATACGTACGCTTTGAAAATGCGTCCAAATTGATAAGCTCTCAATAAAGCTAACCCCCCAAAAGCGAGGCTCTTTTTTGACGCTCTACTCATTCTAATACACGACGCACACCTCTATATGATATCCCCACACTAAAGGCAACAACTTGGGTCCCCTCCTTTTGATTTCACGCCTTAATCAACTCCCCCCCCACTTTTGCAATATTTTTCTAATTTTTTTTATATAATGGTTACTTAATTGATTTGAATAGATTAAAAAAACTAGAAAAATTATTTAGTTTTAACAAAATTGACATGATCTTTCTAAAAATTCCTTTATAATATTAGATTATGTATCAGTTTATAGATTAGACAAATTAATTTGAAAAAATTAATAAATAAGAAAAATAAAATAAATTAAGATCCTATATTTAATACTAAAATTATCTTTTTAAATAAGACTTTCATTTATAAGAATGAAATAAAACGAAGAGTGCTACCTGAAAGAGTGGAAGTCTCAACTACACTAGGAGTTTAAAAATGGCATGCATATAAATGGACTCGACATCACATTTTAATAAAAAAAATTAAAACTTAGATTTATGCATTCGCATACATACTCTTTTGGTCGTTAGTATAACAACTATTTATCTAGTTTAAATAAATTAAAGAAGCTAAATAAATTATTTAATTAATATATGTGACCTAATAATTTAACATGAAATTATATATTAGTTTATAAAATTGGTGAATTACATTGAAAAAAATAATAACTGTAAGAAATAAAATTGATTAAGATTTTATATTTTTTTATAATTAAGTCCTGCGATTACAACAAGGTAGGGATTACTAAACCCAATTCTTTGTGACATGAAAATATTTCATATGAAGCCAAATTTCTTCCCAATTCACATATCTTAGCAGCTGAAAACTTGTTGAAAGGATTTTGTGACTTCTTATTGGAGTACTAAACCCAAATTATTCAGGAACTAACGTAATTCTTAAACATGAGATAATTTTGATTCGGAAAGGCAAAAGGTTAGAGGCATGAAAGAGAAAGACCCACGGGGTGTGATCTAAGGTCAAGATGGGCCCCACATCAGAAAGAGAAGACTCCTAATTGCTAAACCCTGAAACTTTACATCTCCTAAGACTTGCCATTGCAATGCCTTCTTTTTGTCATTATTTGATTGCTCTTTTGCTCTTTGTTTTGCGTTTTATTTTATTCTCTCCCTGCATTATGCTGCTCTTGGCTTTTCTCCCCTTTTAGGTATTCTCTCTGGCTTTTTCGCAGGCATTCATGTCTATGATTATGTAACTGGTTTCATTAATTTTGGTTTTTAACACATTAGTTAGTCCCTAATGTGAAAACAAAACCACCAAATCCCACTATGCCTAACTTTTGACGATTATCTCTCTTCCGCTGATCACTTCCTTAATCCACTGCTTGCCGTTGTTTATTATTAAGCCTCCATGGAAAAAACACTATTCCTGACGAATCAAAAACCACTCCAACAAGCTCACATGCTGCGTGTTTTGTTCCATTTTTATATATGCAAGTGAAAATGACTTTGGATTTCAGCACTTTGCTCTTTTCATCCTTCCACCGTCCTCTCAAACTCATCTGTCTTCTGTATATACACACTGTTTTTGGTTAAGCAAATGTACTGTGTATGTTTCTCACACTTTTATTCAATATTCAGTTTCCTTCCTCTAATTATTTCATATAATCTAAATCTATTACCTATTTCAATATAAATGTAAAAGCTAGATAGCTAATTTGTAAAAGTTACAAAAATTAAGTGAGTTGATTACTTAAAACAAATAATAGGCCTTTGTGTCTTTGAAAAACCCATTTAATTATTTGCATTAAAAATGAAAACTATCTTCATCAATAAAAATCCTTTAGTACGTCAGATTGATAGAATTATTTGAGAAAAGAATTATAAATCTGTAAGATAAAAGAGATCAAGATATTTTATTTATAACCAAAACAAAACCCACAATTAACTTTCACATTTGGAGTTGAATGAATTTTTTTTTTCAGTTTAGTCATATAATTTCGGCGTAACAACAGTAAGAACAAAATGGAACAAAATTAAAATTACTAGAATCATAAGAATGAAATTATAATTTTTGAAATACTACGTCCGGTCCTTAATATAAGAGCTAGTTAGCGATTGAATTTGATTCTAAATATAAGACCTTAATTCACTTTGTCTCTTAAATTTATAATGCTTTTTCTAAAATATCTCTATTAATATATTGTAAGGACTTTCTACTAAGGAATAGTTCCAATACACATGATTAAAGAAGGTAATTTAGAGAAGTCAACACATATTGGTCACAATTAACTAATTTAACTAATTTTTTTAATCTTTTCAAATTAGTTATCCAGACCTTATATTATAAACTGGAAGTAGTTTCATGATTAAATTAGGAATATGAAATTGTACTGATTAAATACATACACAGTAATACCCTTGGGGTGAAGCAGGGAATTTCCTTGAGATAAAACACAAAAGGAAAAAAAAGAAGGGGGGAAAAGAGGGTTACATTGATTTAGTGGATTGGATAAATGCCTGGTTTGATGGAGAAGTTACATATAACTTGAACCATTAAGCTTGTTTGGCAAATATAAGTAATTTGAGGGAATAGGGAGCAGGTAACCACTTAGCCAATAATTTCAAATACACATATTGTGCAAGTATCAGCAACCAGCTGTCGTATTGCGTTATTTAATTTTTCTTTTCCAATCTATCCAATCTAAACCACTGGTAAATGCGTTTAAATAAAGAATTCTTGACCCTTAGCTAGAGATCTTAAACATTAAAGTTTACTTCAAAGACTCTAGTTTTGATTAAGTCACGCACTTAAATTGGATCCGTAGTTTTCATCTGGCCTCTCTCTCCCCCAAATGCAAAACATGGAATTTCGTTCAAGAATCAAAACATGTGACGTGATACCTGTGAAATTTCTGAGCAACAAAACAATTAGGAAGACCTAACCTAAAGATTAGTACCTTTCCCACATTTTACGCGTAAAAAATGCCCGCATTTTGGAAAGATGATTTCGTAGGTTTTCTCTTCGTGAAGAATGGTCTAAAAGAAGATTTGAGCAATTTTGTTTTTGTAGTTGAACTGTACTTTTTTCAACAAAAACAAAATTCAATCTCATTGGCTGTATGACTGATTTTTGTTTGAGTAAAAAAATAATTATAACTATTAAAAATGATTTATCTGCGCTGTTGTTTTGTGGGTAGATTTGGATCATCGGTTTTGAAATAACGTTTCTTTTTACCAACTTTTTTTCTTTTTTGGGTTTGAAAGAGTTTTTGTGGGGAGAAAATGAAAGACATGGGATTTGGACCAAAGTCACATCCGACGTTGGAATGCTGTCTGTATGGTTGGATTGGAAGGACCAAGTAAAAGATCACTAAAAATGAATTTTGAAGTCTAATTTTGATTTTTTTTCCCCCCCATTGTTTTTGAGTGTATGTAGGTGTGCTAACATATTCCCTCTTTTTGACTTTAGCTGATAATATAATTAGTCAAACCACGTTTTTCCAAGCCTTTGATTATTACTTCCCGCTTCCCTGGGGTTTGGCGTAGTGGGACTTGCATTGCATCCATTTCTCAACACTAGCAAATTATTATGTCTAAGTCATTATGTTTTTTTTTTTTCAGGTTGAAGTTTCCTATATATGCTCTTAATTTTCTATAAATTAAAATAACCAATAGAAGATGAAATTTTTAATCATAGTCATAGGTCGCCGATCTATACTACAATCTGAATCATTAATTAGTCCAATGGGTTGACCCTAGGTACTGCTTTAACTTAGAATGCATTATTCTAAATAAACATGATCCACCCCAGCGAATAAAATAATGAAAAGAAGGGGAAAAAGGCAAAGACGGGTTCTTCAGGCTTGAAATCATTGTTAACTTTGGACTAAAAATTCTCGGATGATAAATGATGATCCTACAAGGAGCTTTATATTGAAAAATGAGAAAGTACGTACACACCGAGGTCCATGCACCATTAAAGTTTGTTTGATTTTCTATAAGCAATCGATTGGAACCTGGAAGCCTGCGGAATGAACAGAGTTCAACTTGCCTTCTATATTTTGGCTAGTTATCTGAATTTTCTATGGAATGAACAACAAATATTTTACGAGGACGGTCTTGACTTCTTTTTGAACTGTACTTTTTCTTTTTTAAAATTACGCAATTAGCTTACCCACTTCATAAATTTCTTCTAACTGCTCCCTCATCATTATTTCTTCATTTCATTAAAATCTTACTATTTAAAGTTGTGCTGTGCCCGGCAACTAAAGACCATGGTTTCTCCAGCCTTTGACTTCAGAACAGTTTACCCATTTGGCAAAACATCTCTCTCTTTTTTACACTCGCATGCCATCTGAGTAGAATTGTGGTTTAGGTCAGCTTCCCAAAAAGAGAAGGCCAGTGCCATTCAAATAAACAGTTAGTTGACAGGAAAGAGAGGAAAAGGGTTAAAAGACAAGTATAATTATTAATTTAGTGGTTCAGCGTCGTCTTAATATTTTCAGGTTTCTTTGTTTTTTACGCTGGTTTGTGGTTTCTTACTTTCTTTCAATGGCAGCTACTTTTTGCAAAAATTACGAATTGAAATTCAATGTCGAGGACGTCCAAATTTAATTTAAATACCCCCGTCAGTGCTCAGACCACTTTTCAAAATTCTGATACTCCCTTTGGGAAAAACCAGAGAGAGCCACCGCAAATCTGCAAAATTTAGAGCGCCTCTCAAACTCAGCAACACTAGCTTTGGCCTTGCCTTTTGATTCCATCCCTTCGCCTCCCCCAAATTCAGAGTACTTTGTGTTTTTCCTCCTTTTTCTTCCTCTCTCTGCTTTTCTCTGCTATCATTTGCCGCTTAAACTTAATTGATTACACCCATTCTCGTTCGACCCACGCCTGCACAATTTCCGCCGCATGCGAGGCTTCCCTTAGCTTCCCATCATGCGAGCTTGCTTTCTCTGTGACCCATGTTTGAGCTTTCTTCAGCACTCTCTCTGACTCCTCCACTATCTTTTCCTCCCAATTGCTGCGCGCCAAGGTAGTCGCATGCCCATCAGAATTCAAGTGCAGTTTGATTGCTAAAAGAAGGGGCAAAGATGAAAGTTCCCAGCTTTCTTCTTCTCCATCTTAAAAGGGTCTCACGCAATTTCTCTCCCAATAGCCTCTATGGGTGTTTGAGCTGAGGTTGAGCAGCTTTAATTTCCGGATTTCCCAGAACGAAAACATTTTGGGTTTTTGAATTGACAGGAGGTTTGAAGCAAATTGGTGGTATTGGCAGCTATGGTTGCAGAAACTTGGATTGTAAAGATGGGTAACCAGGTGAGCGCCAATCTCAAGCAAGCGCTTCTTCTCGAGACTTTAACGAAGAGAAAACAGAACCATTCTAAAAGGTCAGATGACAAACAAATAATAGGCATTCTTTCTTTTGAAGTAGCAAATGTAATGTCGAAAACCGTTCACCTCCACAAATCCCTCACAGAGTCCGAGATCTCAAAGCTCAGGAACGAGATCTTGACCTCGGAGGGTGTTAACAACCTTGTTTCCTCGGACGAGGCTTATCTTCTCGAGCTGGCTCTCGCTGAGAAGCTCGAGGAGCTAAACCGCGTGGCAAGCGTGGTTTCAAGATTGGGGAAAAAGTGCTCTGAACCAGCCTTGCAAGGGTTTGAGCATGTCTACGGGGATATTGTTAATGGAGTTATTGATGTGAAGGAATTGGGGTTTCTGGTTAAGCATATGGAAGGTATGGTGAGGAAGATGGACAGGTATGTGACTGCTACTAGAAATTTGTACGGTGAAATGGAGGTGTTGAATGAGTTGGAGCAAGCAGTGAAGAAGTTTCAGCATAATCAGCATGAGGAGAGTAAGCGGGCGTTTGAACAGAAACTTATGTGGCAGAGGCAGGATGTGCGGCATCTCAAGGACATTTCTCTTTGGAATCAGACTTATGATAAGGTTGTGGAATTGTTGGCCAGAACTGTGTGTACAATTTATGGTAGGATCTCTGTGATCTTTGGCGAACCAGCTTTAAGGAAGAACAATCTTAGGCTTGGTGGAGTTTCACCTCCTATGGACAATGAAAATGGATATGTGTCTGGCCAGATTAAACGCAACCAAAGCAGGAAAAATGGATGTCACTCGGGGCCAGTGGGAAGACCAGCTTCGGATAGAAAGGGAGCTAATCGCAAACCTCAGCTAGATGTGAGGAGAGGTGAATTACCATCTTTACGGCCTGAAGATTTTGGCTTTCCATGTGGGACAAGCCCAGGGAGACTTTTCATGGAATGCTTGAGCTTGAGCAGCTCAGGTTCTAAATTTGACGACGATGACGACGATGTTGTTTATCGGGAGGACCAATACAGTCATGGTTCAAGTTGTAGCGGTGTTTCAGGTAATGGAATGAAAAGGGAGATTTCGTGCCATTCTGGCGGTCTAAAGCATGCCCATAGTGGTGTTCCGTTCACTGGAGAACTAAGACAAATCAAACCTGGCGTTTCAGGTAACTCAAGCTTTGGTCCCAAAAGTAGGTTAGCAGCTTATGCTCCTCCTTCCACTCTTGGAGGTTCTGCTCTGGCATTGCACTATGCTAATGTCATAATTGTCATTGAGAAGCTGCTTCGTTATCCACATTTAGTTGGTGAGGAAGCTAGGGATGATCTATACCACATGCTTCCAACAAGCTTAAGATTTTCTCTTCGGGCCAAATTGAAGTCCTACGTGAAGAATTTGGCAATATATGATGCCCCTCTTGCTCATGACTGGAAGGAGACTCTTGACGGGGTACTCGGGTGGCTTGCCCCACTGGCGCATAATATGATCAGATGGCAAAGCGAGCGTAATTTTGAGCAACATCAAATTGTTAGCAGGTCAAATATTCTGTTACTTCAGACTTTATACTTTGCTGATAGGGTAAAGGCAGAGGAAGCTATGTGCGACCTTCTGGTTGGGTTGAATTACATTTGTCGGTATGAGCATCAACAGAATGCGTTACTTGATTGTGCAAGCAGCTTTGATTTTGAAGATTGCATGGAATGGCAAATGCAATGTAGTGCATCTTACCTTAATTGAGTACATTCTAAACTTTTGAAATCCTCCTGTACAAGGTGGGCATTTTCTTCATTCAGAATACCTTAATGAAGTCATTATTTCTATAGGATGTGGGATTCCAAACTTTGCAAGTTGAGGGATAACATTTGTTGATGAAAGTATAGCTGAATTTAATTGCAATGCAAGTTCTGAAGTATATAAGCAATGATATTCATTGAAGGGGAGGGGGGCGGGGGAAGTTCACGTTAAGCTTTGTAAATATGTTGATGTACAGCTTGCTTCCTGCTTCTTCTTCTTCTTATAGTATCTGGCTATCTGCAACTTCTTGCAGCATCATAATGCCTTTGTTAGAATTGTTGTCATGGATAGCTGACGCTATAATTGATATCCTATTGCTCCAGTTGCTCCTGATCTGTTTCTGCTCTCACATTTCATTATTTCTATTCAATAGTTTTGTATTCTGCTTAAAGTCACTTTTTTTTTTTGCCGGTCTTGTTCATTTCTCTTTTCGAAGGGTTCATCTTGTTCAGAAAATGAGGGTAAGCGACATGCGTGCTTTCTATGTATCAGTTGATTCAAATGCTTGATATTGGTATGAATGTAGTGCTTGATGTTATTGGGAAAAAGTCATTAAGGGGACGAATCAAAGAACAAATAACATAAGCAGTTTGATAAAAGTCTATGAAGCTTGAATGTTAGCGAATCAGCCGCACCTAAAATTTGTCCCTTCTGCCCAATTTTTGAAATGCGTTTCCATTATAGTGGCAGACAGGGATGACCGACCAGTGACGAGCAAGTGGTCAGAGTGAGATTACCTAACTGATGAAGCTGGAGCTTTATGGTGTCAAAAGTATTCCTTCCAAGTATCTATCTTAAGACAAATCTAATTTCTTCATAGCAATGGTGATTAGCTCATTAACTTTGAATAAATTTTTCAATTTGCTTATATTTCAATAGAAAAATTTTAAATTTGTTTGGCATTTTCTCATTTATGGAGTGCTCAAACACAATCTATTGGTTGGGTTGGAATTTTTTTTTTTTTGGCCAACTGGGTTGGAAAAGTTATAAGTAAAATAAGACTAGAATAGAAAAGGTAAGTGATATATAGTAAATATGTTAACCTTATAATTGTATTCGAAGACAGATTATGTCACTGTAAGAAATGTAAATTCTAAACGCGAGTACTGATAGCAAAATTTACAGACAAGTTTCACTTGAAGATGTTCAGAACAGCCATTGTACCGCCAGCAGCCTCGCTGTCGTCATCTGTGAGAGAGAATCATTTATTACCAAGATGAATCTTCATTAACCTCTTCCTCATTTTGCTTCTCTTTCTTTGAATGCCTCTCCATCTTAAAGATAGGAAAGAAAATTGGTAGTATAGATTTATGAGATAGTCAAATGGAGGAAAGAGGCGAGTTAAAAAGATTCATGAGCGGCAAGCAGGGTTTGAAATGGGAAGGTAATAGTAGGAGAGAAGAATGAATGAGTGGGTATGGGTAGAAGAGGGCATTCACTACCATAATAAAAGAGCTTTCAAGAACTTGTTTGTGTAGTAGTTGAATGCCATTAATCTCTTGGAGCCTTCCCTTCCTTTTTATGAACTGTCCGTGCGGCTCTCTCACACAAAACAAAAACCTCATTCTCCCTTTAGATTCTTCCTCTTTCACATTTGTGTTCCTCGCTCTTCATCAAAACTCAGCCACACATGAATAGTGGAGACGGGAAAAAAAAAAGAAAAAGAGAGGGGGGACTCTCCCTTGTTCTTGATTTCCTCGCATTAATTGAACACAAGACATTCATCTTTAAAATATCTCAAAAAAAAAATTGTTGATACCTCATGCTTAGTGCCTTTCCACCGACCGGTAGGTTTTTTCAGGAACAAAATTGAATGGATGTTGCTTTATTCACTTGCTGGCGGACGATGGTGTTAGACAGTTTAAATGGAGAGGGTGAGTTAGTGGTTGGCCGCTGCCTAAGCTCTTACGATGAACTAAAAGGCTCATTAGATCATTCGTCACCAAATTGGTTTTGGGTCAATTTTGCGATTACTTTCCTTATAGTCTTTCAATGGCCTCCCCTTGATCTGTTGAAATCACAATAAACCTAATCTGAATACCTTAATTAATGTTGATGTGCATGATATAAAATTTGTATAAAAAACTGATTTGCATATAAATCCGTTAATACTTGATGTATGTGTATTCCAAAATCGAGCAACACATTGGGTAGATGGGGAATTAATTCGTAGTCTGCAGATTCACATCACCCAAGTATTCTGAATGCTGAGATTTTCCTACAATTAAATTAATTTTTTTATAATGAACCAAATAGGAATACATGAAAGAAGCGTTTGTTGTAGTTGATTTTCATGTATTCATAAGTATTTTATATTTAGGAAAACTGTGTGGGTAATATTTCAAGTACTTCAAAGCTTCAAACGCACCCCTAGCACAGAATAATCGATTGTTATCAGATCTCAATATTACATTTGAAGGCCAAAAATTGTAATTTAATCCTAATAAATTATAATTTATATAATATTTTTTTCTCACTAATTGAATATAAAAAAATATGTCCTTTGAGGAGACACACTGTGTCCAATGGCCAGTGGTTAGAAATTTTGGATTCAAGTGGCAACTCACACCACCTTAAATGAGGCAGTAGGATTAAACTCTGAAGCGAGTTTGGGTGAGTTATCCTTTTTTACAGGAGCTTAACAGGGTAAATATTAGGAATTCAATAACTTGTGTTTTAATCGAGTTTTACGTTTTGCACCCAAGATATTCTTTAATTCAAATGTGAAATTCCCAAACAATTCACTTACGAATCAATTTCCAGCTAACAGTTTATTTGTCTACTAATCTAATCTATCATCTACTCTATATTTGAAAGTTAGGTGGATAATTTTATTGATTTTACATTGTTTCATGTTTTCTTCAAAGGACACTTTTGATTGTGTGCACTTTTTCCCTTGGTTTTAATTTCTCCTTTTCTGGGAAATTTAAAAATCATTGTGATAATAGAGTATGGGCCACATCTGGTTGTGTCTAATTCACAAATCATCAAGGCCTACCCGAGATCAGCAAATTATATGGGAAGCCCACGTTTTTGGATTATAAGGCCATCGTATATTTCCTCTCGGCCACGATCCATCTTTTTTTTCCAAAGGAGCACCCAAAAGAGAGTGGGAGAAGTTGAAGGTGCCTGCCTGCTTCCTTGGTTTCCCTGCACAGCGTGATGAGAATGTTTCTGTAGTTGAACTGTGTTAATGAAATGAAGTGCTACTTCCATTTCTTTTGTCGAAGATTCGATCTGTGATCCATCAAAGAAGGCCATCGACCATTTTGTTGAGCAGCCAAACCAGATCCTCATCTTTTCTGTACTTTCTCCTCGCCAATTTCCGACTCCGTCTTCCTTTTCTTCTGATTTTCTTCAAGCCTTTTGCTCTCCGAAACGCCCGCTGCTCTAAAGGAAGCTGCACGATCTGCAGTTCTTTCCAAGAATGAATTACAGAAGGTTCCTTTCCGACCCCTGCTTGCTCGATTCGGTTTTTATTTCTGTGTCTTCTTTTTGGGCGAGAATTTGCTTCTCGATTGTTGTCGTTCATTGGCAATGCATGGCCTAGTCAATCTTGCTTCTGGTTCAAACTTTCATCCTTTTTTATTTTTTTTAATCTACAATTCTTTCGAACTGTCTCGGTTTGGCAATGTCATGTATTCTGATTTGATCAATTGTGGGATTTGTATCGGATTAGAAGGATGATTTGTGTGTTGGTGTGTGGAAGGTTATGCTTGATCGTGTTGGCATAACTGTTGCTGTGCGTGCATATGCATTATTCATGGAAAGGTTATGCTTGATCATGTTGGCATAGTTGTTAGCCTTTAAGGGTTCCATTTTTTGCTCATTCTTAATTTGGTTTTCCTTTTTCTTCTTGCAGCACTGAATGATATGAAAATATTTTTTATTGACTGATCGTGATTATCATTTTTTTTTATACATTTTTCATATATTCATTTTGTCTTTTTTAGTTTCTTGAAACTTTTTTTCCAGTGCTGGTGCTTTTAAACTTATGCAGTTGATGCATTTCAACCCTGTGTCCTCTATCACTTTTCATACTGTGGTAACGTTGAAATAATTTTAGGAGCGAATTACTGTATTTGCCAATCTTGTTATCACATATTGAGATCGTGTTTCTGTTAGATTTGGGTGGTTATAAAGTCGTCATTGTGAGCTTAATTTTTGTATGTAAATTAGTTAATTTAGTATTATATTAATTTTTTGTTCTAAAGTATTATATTAGTTTCAATGTCAGTTATATTAAATATATATGATATATTTATATAATGTATGCTACATTTCACTATAGCACAGTCAAAGCGAGGTTCCTTGAGCTATAGCGTTCAAAAGCTCTTGTTTTCGCTATGTGCTATTGAAAACTATGATATCTGGGGGAAGATCTGATGAAATACATGGAATCAGTATTGTGCAGTTGCCTTTTGTAAATGCTTAATGAACGGCGACAAATTTAGGAAGATTGATAGCCTTGAGTAAAGTGAACAGAAACAAAAATATTGTTTCACCTGTTGGACATCTTAAATGTGCATTATTTTTTTTATTGCTTAGTGTTAGTTTAGTTTCCATAGCGTTTAGTCACTGTGTTCCTGTAGTCATGTTTTTGAATTATTTCAGATCTTGAGACCATCTATTTTCACCTGTGTCATGCTGAAAATTTTACTTTCTCTACATGATTTAAAAACAACAACAAATGTTGGTTTATTTGTTTCCAGGAAGAGGGTTCAACCATTACAAAAAAGTTGCGTACTGATAGTTATATAGTGTTTAAACAACTAATTTTTCAGTAGGCTAAGTTCTTGCACCTTCATTGTTGTTTTCATCCTTTCAAGTAAATACCATTCTAGTTGTTCTAGTGAAGAAACAAATTAAACTGTCTTGTTTTTCATTGCTTTATATGCTGTTTAAGTAGTTAAATTCTTGTGCTCATTCTCTGTTTTTAATCCTATTGGGCAGTTGAAATTAATCATTTTGGATGAAAAGGAGGGTTAAAAAAGTTTTGTCTCTCACTTCTCACTGTTTCTCCTTATTGTTTAATTGTACATATATTTCATACACCACTGGCTGGCTGCCTTCAAAATGCTATGCACTTGTTTTGGATAGTCTGGTTCCATCCAGTATAGGTGGAATGGACTATGCTGTGTCAGAAATGATTTACTCATGCCCCTCATGCCATGTGGAGACCAGAGGGCATGGATATTCAATACTAGATAGAAGTTGGAACATTTGTTTCAAGCTTTAGGAGTCAGATTTGTTTTGAGACTCTTAGAAGGACCCTGTGTCTTGGTTGTGGTACAAATTGTTTTCTCAGTCAAGTTTGTTTACCTGGTCAATCTTCTCATATCAGGTGTGCTTCTGATAAATATTTTTCTGTTATTTAACTTGTATATGTTCTCAGCTCTCTGTCGCGCTGGGTTTATATTCAAACCACCAACTTCGATATTTGTTACTGTCACTATTTTTCCCAATGCTTGTTGCTTAAATCATTGAGAACTTCATTTGAAGGATGCTCATGTCGGGGTATTCCTACTTCTTTTTTTTTTGGGTACCATGTGGTTTTTCAGTCACTTTTAGTTATATCATTTTCCTCTGGTTTAACTATTCTTCTAATTATTATTTTCATCAAACAGAGATAGTCGATCTTCCAGATCATCCCTTCTTGATGGATACGATGGTATTGAGGAAGGTGGTATAAGGGCTTCTTCATCATACTCACATAATTTAAATGAGCATGATAATGACAAAGCCATAGAGAGTTTGCAGGACAGGGTTGTTTTTCTTAAGAGAGTAAGTGCTGTTCGACTTTCTAATTATTGATTATCAACTTTTTTTAATACATAGCTTCACCAATGTGTTTTTCTTATAGATGCTCTGATCCATTGAAAAGTTTTGTCAAGTTTTGCTTACATTGTATTTTGAAGGCCAATTTCATATCTTCTACTTTCTCAAAGGAGGTGAAAACAAATTAAACGAACTGGTTTAGAAATCTACATCAGGAGTAAAATAACATTTTTCACACCACTTATTAACAGTTAACCGGGGATATCCATGAAGAGGTGGAGAGTCATAACCGTTTGCTTGATCGGATGGTAAGAAACAATTTCCTGCCTCTGTAGTATTCCCCTTCCCCCACCCCATTTTTAATTATAATTCTCCTCTGTTGTAAATCAGGGTAACAGCATGGATGGATCAAGGGGCATGATGTTGAGAACCATGGATCGGTTCAAAAAGGTATTTCGGATTATGATTCTTTTTTCTGTGTTTTTGTTACTTGATGTTTTATTTTATATTGATTTTCTACATTTATTGGAAAATGACTTGGTGATATGAAACTGGATGTTCTAGGTTTTTGAGAAGAAATCAACAAGGAAAACGTGCTCCCTTGTGGCATATTTCACAGTTGCCTTCGTATTTATATACTACCTCATTAGGTAAAATGATTCTGTAATCTTGTTATGTTCGATGTCAATGAAAACGAATTTATAAGTTATGCTTTCTGGACTTCATTCAGTTATTGATATTAAAAAATGTGTTTTGGTTTGTTCAGATTAATTCAGAAGGGAAGCTTTTCGATAAAAACATTAAAACCAAGGAGTCTGGTTTGTGATTAAGTTAAGAATTCTTGAGATGTAATTATTTTGTACACAAATGTTGAACGAGAGACGCGAAATACTACTATAGTATGGTTTAATGATCTTAGCAGCATGGTAGTCATTGATCTATGAATAACTAATGCAGCTATGCTCCGCTGGACGTTGGAATTCTGGTTGAATTTGGGTTATATGCGCGTATTGGTTAATGAATAATAACTTAGGAAAAACGTTTATAATATACTGATGGAGATTATGTACTTGTTTGCAGGATTTTGGGCTATTTTACTCTTGGCTGAATCATAATCTGGAAGCTCTGGCATTCTAGTTCATGAGTGAAATCCTGTGGTGCACCCTCCGGTAAGATTGTCCCAATCCCAATTGAATGAATTCATCTGGCAGTGAACTTGTGTGGAGCCAATTGGTGATCGCGGAGCTGAGTTAAGGTTGACAAACTCTTTTAGTCACTCCACTTCTCTCTCTCTCTCTCTCTCACACTCACACATAAATTCGTTATATAGTCTGGAAAGGGGAAAGTGTAAATTCAAGTATATCATATGGCCTTTTATTTTTTAATTTTATTTTATTTTTATTGAATTGTCAATTGCAAGTGGAACTGGTGGCTGAAGGACTGGGAATACAGTTGATGATGAGGGAGCTCATTGAGTTGAGTTGGCTTATCAATCCTGAATTTTACCTCAAACTGCGCCCATGCCCTACTTTGGAGCATGAGACGGGTTTGACTGAAAATTAAACTTACCCGTGAGGTATTTCGAATCAAAGTTTAACAATTGAATAAATAACTAAAAACATTGGCACTAAAAATAATATTTTTCCTAATAAGTTATAATTGATGTGTTTTTTATGAGTATTTACATTGTATATAGCTGTATAGATTTTGGTTTTGGGGCGTGTCGTTGAAATATTGGCTTATGTGCACATTTGTATTACTATTAGTATTGCCCGAGTCTTGGGTTTCGGTTGGTAGGATGTCGCGTATCATTTGGGGTCAAATTCATATTGTATCCTATTATCCAAGGGCAGGGGATAATCAAATTGGACGGCACTCACAATCATATGTGCTACCTGTGAAAGATAAGACATAATTTGTAGTTTATATAAAATTTAATTGATAGTTTAATTGAATTACAAATTAGATTTTATGTTAAGGACAAGCGATGGTGTACTTACCCAGCTTGCCGTGTTCATCTCTCTCTTTTTGTACTTCGATTTATAATATGTCGATGGATTCTTCTTTTTGCCTCTAATTCTATAATTTTCAAGTCATGAATGTAGTCCGCGGAAGTTGTGAATTAAATAATCAGATTGATTTTGCCATCTTTAATTTCTGCCACCTAACACGGTTATATATATTATTTGGACCTATATCCATTATCCGCCAAATTATAATGTGATTCCCGTGGCACACTCAAATCTCGGGGAGGCCCCCCTCTCACATCTTCCTTATTTTTTTAACAGGGACATGTTTTACACAGTAATAATTACTCTTCCCGTTCTAAATATAAGACTTTTTTCGTAGTGTAATTTACACTACGAAAAGGGTCTTATATTTAGGACTGGAGTAGTATTTAGTTTCTAAAATTTGTACTTGATTAAAATTTAGTTTTTGAACTTTAAGTACAACTTAGTACTTGCAGTTTTACTTGTTTAAAATGTTCGTCTACATTTTAAGACAGAAAACCATAAGGACTAACATTATTTTTTGAAAGTAAGGATGTTCTTAAATGGTAATATGATATTATTCCTATGTATTGATGAATATATATTGTATCTCAATGATATAACTAGGCATGTTCCCTTATATTTTTCCAACATATATAATCTTTTAAGGTCTTGCTTGGCGTTCATAATTTCCACAGAAATTTTTGCCGTAAAAGTAAAACTTCCACGGTATGACCACCGAACGGGGTTTCGAAAATGAAATTAGCGTGCTTTGATCCGTTTCCATGTTTTTATTAATTAATTAATAGCGAGTCAAAGTGATTATATTTAATTATTAATATGCATGTGTTGGATCCGCAGGGTTTCCTTGAAATTAACGTGACACTTTCACCTTTATAGTTAGACTATTTATTTTCTTTTGTACTACCTCGGTCCTAATTATAAGACCCAGTTGACTTATTTGAGAAGATAAGGAAGTAAGTTAAGTTAGTTATTTGTAATAAATAAGTGTTGTCATTCTTAAAATATCCTTGCTAATTAAGTGTATTGGCTAGAACTATTATTATTAGAAGGACTATCTTGGAAAAAAATGCATAAATATGAGAGACAAAATGGATTGGGTCTTATAATTAGAACCAACAAAAGTCAAGAGGGTCTTATATAAGGACGGAGGTAGTATAAACTATAAACTTTTTAGGGATATGTAGTTACTAGCTAGGGTACACTAAACAATTCGAATTAGATATATATTATCTCCACTACTTAATAAAAGTTAGATAGAAATTCAATTTCATCATAAATATAAAACTTAATCTCTAATATTTATTTATTTACTTCGAAATAATCCTTTATGATTATACATATTAAATAATTTTTATTAAATGGTTAATATAGATATTTTAAGAAAAATAGCATTTATTTATTTAGCTCTTATATTAAATACATCAAGTAGTATTATTAATACAATCATTTGGAAGGTTAGTGACATTTTTTTATATAAATTAAATTTAGATGAGTAGAGTTGCGGGGACAGGCTCAAAAAGCACAAATCATCCACCAACAAAGTTTTCACATCAGTACCGAAATCCAATTCATGATCTTATAGATTATGATCTGATTCTTTATCAATTGGATTAACTCTTGTTAGTAAGATTAGTGATATTTGTTTTTAAGGTGTGATTTCCAGCACAGAGGCTTTACCGTGTTGGGCTTTCCCTTAGCCCACGATGAACCAAGCACTCTGGACTCGTATGCTTATGAACCTAAATGTCATTTCCAGTTGCCGATCTGGAAAATCAACGTGCTCATCATGCTCCCATGTTCAACGCAACACGACAACCATAAATGACACTCTTTAATTTATAATATTCCAAATTCATGACAAATCACACCGTATTATTACTGCAACTTCCTATTCCTAATCCCTCAAACATATACTCCTAGATCCTATTTTGTATGAAGCATTAAAGATAAGAGATAGGAATTAGGATTGCAATTAAAAAAAATTATTAAAAAAGTCTTTAGTATGAATAATTACTTGTTATATGGGATTAAACAAACCCATGGAAGTGAGATTGGGGAATACTACTTCTCCCCATAGTATTCTCCAATGACACATGTATGGGTCTGTTTAATCCCATGTAATAAGTAATCTCTCATGCTAAATACTATTTTCTCAATCTCAATCTCAATCTCAATCTCAATCCCTATCCCTCATTTTTTAATGTTTTGTATCAAACGCTACCCTAATCCCTCAAACATACAATCCATCCCATCACCCGTATTTCATATTATAATGATCATTGTAGGATATCTATACATTTGGTATACTCTAAAGATACCCTTCATACAATATTGATTATCTAACACCCTAAAAACTAACTGTTGAAGTTGGGAAACTTTGAGACTTATAAAGGGTCCTCCTTATATTCAAGCTAATTCTTTCAATGTCAGACTCATGACAATACACTCCTCTCAAGAGCTAACTTCTTGATGACCCCAAACTATGGTACTTCACTCAATCTCATGCCGGTTAACCCTTTTATTTGGTCAAAACTCTTCAGAAGTAGTCCTTTCTAGTTGGCCAATGATCACATGTTTTTAGGAAAAATAACATACATTAAAAGCTAGTTATCAGAGTTGAGAAATTTAAGACCTGACAACACCTCTTGATCATTTAAGGCAACTCATCACAATGAGACTCATGACACATGTACAAAAGACCTTAAAACGTTCTAATTTGTGTTCCCCGAAGGGTGTTTTAGGTCTTTTCCTAGTATCGTACCGTGATTGCTGACAATTATATGTATTATTTATTCGCTCTATTAATCAAATCGGATATAATTTGTCTTTCTTGATTAATGTCAAAATCAACTAGTCGCTTTATTATGTATGAAATGATCTTCTATATATACACTGATTTCAAATTATTCAAACAGTATTATTTGATTATACGCAAGTAGCATTTGTACTCCCATTATATATATATATATATATAGAGAGAGAGAGAGAGAGAGAGAGAGAGGAATTGGTCCCTATATGTGTCGGATGCAAATTAGTAACAGCATGCCCTGTACCATACAACATATAAAATTAATTTCGAGGGAGGTTTATAGTTATCATACTAGTATAAATTATTGAGAAAAGAAAAAAAAAGGAATCATTAGTGGTTGTGTGTGCATAATTATAACAAACAGCAAGCATTGAAGACGCTATATAGTTAATTAGAGGCATCTCATGCATACACACATACATATATATATGTGACTTGTCTGATTGTTCAATGTTGTATTGAGGCAGTGGTTATCGGTCAGCTTGAAGTTGACGACAAGTCTGGGATTCTTGTCCGCACAAAAGAAACCATTAACACAAACTGTTGCCGAGAGGCCAAGACTATATAATTTGTTTTGATTTACAATGTCAATTACATATAATTATATATGCTTCCATGCATAGTTTCTCAAACAAACTAGACATTTACAAAAAATTAAGAAGCATTCAGCATCCTAAAATATTTTTTTAAGTGCATCTAATAGCCTAAAGTATTTTGTAATGTATCCAATATCCTGAAATATTTTTCTAAGTGTATAGAGCACCACAAAATATTTTAGAATACTGGATGTACCCGATAAAATATTTCAAGATGCTAGATGCACCTTAAACCTTTATAAAATCATAATCCCCTCTAAACTCTCTCTCTCTCTCGATCTTTTCTTCTCTTCTTCTGTTTTTTCTTTTTTTTTGGGGACAACGCACAATACCAGAACTCCATACTATCAGCGAAATTATTGGCTCTTATATGCGTAAGGTGGGAATGATTGAATGAGGTGGCTAGCTAAGTTATATAGGTGTCAACCGACGATAGGATTAGAATAATTCAGAAAACAGATGAATATAATTTCCTCATTTAATTTTGGTCTATGAGTAAAAATATTAAACAAACATATCTGAGTGTGATTCATATATGCTTTGATTATATGGGATCCATACTTTGAGATACATAAATTATTTTAAATGAATTAGGTTGATGCGAGGGAATGGCCGTACCATGGTTGGATAGTTAAAAAGAAATTTAGTCAACATTAACGCATATATAACTTAGGGGGTGTTTGGATGAAACCAAACCATGGTTTAGAGAATAGCTTTTGGAGAATAGATTTTGTGAAAAAGTGATTCTGAGAAGTGAGAGTATAGTGTTTGGATAGTTATTATCAGAAGCACTTTTTATATATACAAATCACTAAAAAAGACATAAGTTAATATGATAATTACATAAAAGATAGATTTTATGATATATTTTAATTTGAAAGAATAAAATTGTTAATAATATATGTTTTACCAACATAATTAATAATACATAATATAATATAATTAATAAATAAGTAATATGTGTATATAT